TTTTGAATAGCAGAAGTTCTTGATTTGTTATTATTGCCATTTAGAAGATGCCATCTTGGCCATTTTTTGTAGGGAGAATGACCTACCAGATAGAAAGCATTACTTCAGATTCTCCAAAAAGGGCAGATAATTATGTTGCTAGGAGTTAAGCCTTCTTTATGCTGCTTTCTTTCTAATCAAAGAACTAAACTTTGTTATAGGAGAAAAAAAAAAAATCCAAAGGAAGATTTTGTGTGTGTGGGTGACAGCCTAAGAGGTTTCTCAAACTTCTTAAAACTTGTTCACCTTTGACTTATTTCATCTTTATCCTCCTTAATTTTCTGGAGTTTTAAAACTTTATTTCAGTTCTTAGATTGGTTCTTGAAATTTAACTATGCATATTTAATTTAACAGTATCTAGGATTAAGGCTATCATATCTCAATTTTCAAATTCTCATATCTCAATTTTCAAATTCTCATATCTCAATTTTCAAATTCAGACTGAAATTGAAGAAAGTGGGGAAAACCACTAGACCATTCAGGTATGACCTAAATCAAACCCCTTATAACTATACAGTGGAAGTGAGAAATAGATTTAGAGACTAGATCTGATAGACAAAGTGCCTGAAGAACTATGGATGGACGTTTCTGACACTGTACAGGAAGCAGGAATCAAGACCATCCCCAAGAAAAAGAAATGCAAAAAAGCAAAATGGCTGTCTGAGGAGGCCTTACAAATAGCTGTGAAAAGAAGGGAAGCGAAAAGCAAAGGAGAAAAGGAAAGATGTACCTATTAGAATGCAGATTTCCAAAGAATAGCCAGGAGAGATAAGAAAGACTTCCTCGGCAATCAAGGCAAAGAAATAGAGGAAAACAAGAATGGGAAAGACTAGAGATGTCTTCAAGAAAATTAGAGATACCAAGGGAATATTTCATGCAAAGATGGGCACAATAAAGGACAGAAATAGCAGGGACCTAACAGAAGCAGAAGATATTAAGAAGAGGTGGCAAGAATACACAGAAGAACTGTACAAAAAAGATCTTCGCGACCCAGGTAATCACAATGGTGTGATCACTCACCTACAGCCAGACATCCTGGAATGTCAAGTCAAGTGGGCCTTAGGAAGCATCACTACGAACAAAGCTAGTGGATGTGATGAAATACCAATTGAGCTATTTCAAATCCTGAAAGATGATGCTGTGAAAGTGCTGCACTCAATATGCCAGAACATTTGGAAAACTCAGCAGTGGCCACAGGACTGGAAAAGGTCAGTTTTCATTCCAATCCCAAAGAAAGGCAATGCCAAAGAATGCTCAAACTACCACACAGTTGCACTCATCTCACACACTAGTAAAGTAATGCTTAAAATTCTCCAAGCCAGGCTTCAACAATACGTGAGCCATGAACTTCCAGATGTTCAAGCTGTTTTTAGAAAAGGCAGAGGAACCAGAGATCAAATTGCCAACATCCGCTGGATCATCAAAAAAGCAAGAGAGTTCCAGAAAAACATCTATTTCTGCTTTATTGACTATGCCAAAGCCTTTGACTGTGTGGATCACAATAAACTGTGGAAAATTCTTCAAGAGATGGGAATACCAGACCACCTGACCTGCCTCTTGAGAAATCTGTATGCATGTCAGGAAGCAACAGTTAGAACTGGACATGGAACAACAGACTGGTTCCAAATAGGAAAATGAATCCGTCAAGGCTGTATATTGTCACCCTCCTTGTTTAACTGATATGCAGAGTACATCATGAGAAATCCTGGGCTGGATGAAGCACAAGCTGGAATCAAGATTACTGGGAGAAATATCAATAACCTCAGATATGCAGATGACACCACCCTTATTGGCAGAAAGTGAAGAAGAACTAAAGAGCCTCTTGATGAAAGTGAAAGAGGAGAGTGAAAAAGTTGGCTTAAAGCTTAACATTCAGAAAACTAAGATCATGGCATCTGGTCCCATCACTTCATGGCAAATAGATGGGGAAACAGTGGAAACAGTGGCTGAGTTTATTTTTGTGGGCTCCAAAATCACTGCAGATGGTGATTGCAGCCATGAAATTAAAAGACACTTAGTCCTTGGAAGGAAAGTTATGACCAAACTAGACAGCGTATTAAAAAGCAGAGACATTGCTTTGCCAACAAAGGTCCGTCTGGTGAAGCCTATGGTTTTTCCAGTGGTCATGTATGGATGTGAGAGGTGGACCATAAAGAAAGCTGAGTGCCGAAGAATTGATTCTTTTGAACTATGGTGTTGGAGAAGATTCTTGAGAGTCCCTTGGACTGCAAGGAGATCCAGCCAGTCCATCCTAAAGGAGATCAGTCCTGGGTGTTCATTGGTAGCACTGATGTTGAAGCTGAGACTCCAATACTTTGGCTACCTGATGTGAAAAGCTGACTCATTGGAGAAGACCCTGATGCTGGGAAAGATTGAGGGCAGGAAGAGAAGGGGACGACAGAGGATGAGGTGGTTGGATGGCATCACTGACTCAATGGACATGGATTTGGGTGAACTCTGGGAGTTGGTGATGGACAGGGAGGCCTGGCGTACTGTGGTTCATGGCGTCGCAAAGAGTTGGACACGACTGAACGACTGAACTGAACTGAACTGATCTCAATTTTGTAAATAGTACAAGGGATTGATAATAGTTTATTCCCATCTTTCCATTCCCAGTTACCTACTATTATTGTCTCATATTTTAATTTTCTGCTGCTTTTGTTTTGTGTTGACAGTATTTACTTGGGTTTGCCCATAGGTTTATGATTTATTTGTTTACCTTTCCTTCTTGCACTCAGACTTACACTTGGCCCATTTTACTCTTCCTCAAGCGTATCCTTTAAAAGTTCCTTTATAGCAGATATCTTAGTGATAACTTGCTTGTAAATGTTTCTGTTTTTCTCTTTAAAGGTAGTTTTGCTTGGTGTACAATTCTGGGTTGATAGTTGCCTTCTTTTAATTAGTCCATTATTGCCTTGACTTCTATTTTTCTGATGAGAAATTTGTAATGATCTCATTTTTCTTTCCTTTTCATTAATGCCACCAGATTAATATGACTCAAAAGAGGAGATGATATGTCCTTTATTGCTGTTTGTTTTTCAGATCTTGTCTTTGTTATTCTATAATTTAGTTATAACACATAACTATATATATATATATATATATATATACACATGTACATATACATGTTATATAATATTGCTATAATTTATAGATATGAATTATTTCTATTTATCTTGTTAGGTATATTTTTATATTGTGCTTCCTGGGCCTGTAGATTCATATTTGTAATTGGTTTTAAAATTTTTTCAGCCATTAGCTTTTAAAATATTTTCTTTCTTTGTTTTCTTCTAGGACTCCAATTTGCCATATGCCAGATCAGGAGCTGGCAGATTTTTTCTGAAAAGGGCTTCACAGGCTACAGGCATTCCCTGTTTTACACTCTTTTTTGTTTTTTATTTTAATAGTACAAAGCTATTCTTAGCTCATAAGCAAGATAGTAATAAATGCTTAGCATAAATATATGCTAGACTTTGTTTCTTTTTTCATGGCCCTTAATCTCTTATATTTTTCATATTCTATCTCTTTGCAACATTCTATATAAAGTTTTTTCATTTATCTTCCAGTTTACTGATTCTCTCTTCAGTTTTAATGCTGTATTAATTAAATTCAACAAGTATACATTTTTATTCTAGATACTCTATTGTTTTTCTAATTGTTCTTTTTTTAAAAACTTTTTCTGCATAAGGATCTACGTTTAAAGTGGAAGTTCCAAACACAGCTTTCCCATCTCACTACCGTTTCAAGTTTTAATCTTCCCTGTCCTGCTGCCACGGCAATCAGCCTCAAGTCCACCTTCCCACCCCCTCTTCCTGGCAGTGTCTGTAGGCAGGTTCCTGGCCACCCTGGGTCCTCAGGGCTCTGCTCCAGCTCCTGCCTCTGAAGCCTGGCTCTCGGAGGCTCTGGCCCACCCTGGCCCACCAACCTTCTGTATACTGTCACACTGACTCCCAAGCCAAAGCCCTTGGTGGCTGAGGTTAAGGCCTTAGTAAACTCCAAGCTCAACCCACGTTTGTTTGCTGATGTGTGTGTTTTGTGGGCAGAGGTCATTGGACACCTCTGATGGAGTTTGTGAGAGCAAAGCTTTTACAGAGTGAGTGTGTGTGTGTGTGTGTGTGTGTAGTCGCTCAGTTGTGTCCAATTCTTTGCGACCCCATGGTCTGTCCATGAAATTCTCTAGGCAGGAATACTGGAGTATGTAGCCACCCCCTTCTCCAGGGGCCTTCCCGACCCAGGGCTCGAACCCAGGTCTCCGCACTGCAGGCAGATTCTTTACTGCATGAGCTACCGGGGAAGCCCAGTGTATACTTTCCTGGATATAGTTGCTATGGAGATAACAGGTTTCTTGATGCTTCTATTCAATTGTAATGCAGAAGCATAAATCCTGTGTTAGTTTTGTATTAAAAAAAAAAAAAAGGTTACAGAGACCTCCCTGGTGATCCAGTGGTGGAAACTCTATGCCCCCAGTGCACAGGGCCTGGGTTTGATGCCTGGTCGGGGACCTAGATCCTGCATGCTACAACTAAGAGTTTGAATGCCACAACTAAAAGATCTCACATGCCACAACTAAGACCCAGTGCTGCCAAATAAATAAATAAATATTTTAGAAAAAGTTATTGAAAAAATTTTTCACAAGAAGAATTGATTAGTCCTTGAATAAGAGATGACAGTATATTTTAGAATGTTTTAAAATTATTTTCTTCACAGAAGAGTTCTCTCAAATTTATTCTGTTTTGTGGCTCTCTTTTTGGTATACATTTTTACTTTCTGTGGCGTTTTAATTAAAAATTCACCAACGTTTTTTACTTAATGCCATTACTAAGAGAATATTTAAATATATAATGAGCCACGTTATAGTATATTCTAAGCATTACTGTATACCAGCAATTAATTTTATATTTGGTGTAGAAGTTTTTTGTGTAGTGAATATGTTTATTTATTTATTTTTTCAACTCAGGACAATGTCTGACCAGGAGGAAGAAGCTGATTCTCAGAATGCTGTTGACTCATCAAAAGAAAGAGAGGATGCTTTGGTGTCTATCAATATTCCAGTTCCCTCGGAAGAGGTTCCCGAGTCAGATCAAACTGAAGACTATGAATCTGAACTAGATCCATCTAGTGGAGGCCGTGAAAAACGCACTGAAGAGCTGAGTGACCAGAGCGTTTCAAGCCTGGAACCGAACGATGTCGAGCAACACATGGACGACGTTATGATGGCTGAACGAGCTGAAGATGGTGGAGGCTCTCTAACGAAATCTGGGAGCGCAGTGCAGTCAGCCAGACCATATTCAAAAGCGTCTCTGACATTTTTGGAAAAAGTGAAGGCTATGAAGGAATCTCTGAGAATAACAACAAAAGATTCTTTAGCAACAGGTATTACCTAGGGAATACAGACAGGGAAGACAGACTTAATTATTTTTTTGTCTTGATTTTTTTTTTTTTTTTGCTTGTCGATTCATTTTATACTTGATATTACTTTCCCACCCCCTTATCCTGTTCTGTGGCTGAGCCACATGAATCTTTTAATTTTGTGTGAAGCTTCTCCTCTATGCTGCAGTATTTACTTTCCCTAAATAAAGGAAAATCAATAAATTTTAAGTGATAGTTAATCTGTTTTTCCCAAATAAAATAGATTCTTTAAATGTTTAGGGAGAAATTTTTGAGTATAATTGTAATTCTTCTGTGTGCCATTGTGGAATTTGGTCTACATAGGTAGCAGCAGGTGGGATGGGAACTTGACACTTTGTTTTTCTAGTTTCTTCTACAGTGCTCATTCCATATATCTTGTTGCTCTTATGTATTTCCATATTTATTAGTGTTAACTTTATATTCAGCCTCACGAAAGTCATTATTGTCTTTCATTATGGATTACTATTAAAGACATAATGTTGATGGCGTGGCATTTAGAAGTTATTACTACATCGCTGGGAGCAAAGCAGAAGGGGAGCAGCAAGAAGGTGGTTACACAGAGAATTGTACTTGGGTGGTAAAACTGACATCTCCTTCTCCTCGTTGTTCATAAGTTTTGAGAAAGTTTCCATCCATAGAGTGGAGAACATGGGCCATCATTTAACAATAACAGCAGCTTAGTCTGGCTGGTAAAATATGGCTTCCAGGGAAGTATTAGCTCTTATGTGGTGTGTCCCTCAAGTAAAGTATATAAAGGAGTAGGAGGAGAAAGTAATCAAGCTCATTTATACCTAATTGAAGCTGTTATCCCCCAATTTCATTATTTGGTGTAAATTTGGGCATCATTTTTTGGTATTTCTTCAGTTATGATTTTAACTTATAACAAACACGTGGTGGTTTAAAGACGTGGTCTTGGTCCTGTACTTTCTGAGGCTCACAGATTCCTGAACACAGTTTCCCTTCCCAAAGCTTAGGAAATCACTGCCATGAAAAGTTTAACGTATATTAATTGTAGAACTTTGAACCCAGGAAACAGTTAAAATAGCCTTCTAATAATTTAACATCTGTAAGAGTGTTCTTGTTGGGAAAGAGCTGTGAAAATAAGCTTAAAGAACCTTAGCATCAACAATACCTTGTTACATTTCATGCTAGGATTATTGATAAATGTCTCATAGACCTTTATGAAAACTGTCATGTCAAGGCATCTAGAAATATACAAAACTGTTTTGGTTTGAAATGTGTACTCCTCATTCCATCTTACTTATTACATCTTCCCCATTAACATATAAAGTTTGTAGATGTAAAAGTAAACAGTTTACCTCATAATAATTTCAGTACTTTATTTCCTTCCTACAATTTGTGAACAGATAATCATTTTATAGCAATAGTTTTTCTCAATTTTTGACATGTAAGTGTCTTGATTTTTATTTTAGAGTCAGGAGTAAACCACATAATGTCTATTTTTTGTGACAAGTAGATTTGTGCATAGTTATTCCAGATACTTATAATAAACAGTGATTTTCTGTTTTGCATTCTGCCAGCTACAGACATAGATCAATTATGGAAAGAAGAAAGGACTTAGATGATCTTTTGTCATTGCAAGGTCAAAGAAAATTTTCTCTGAAAATTTCCTTATTGATTTTTCTTAACTTCATGAATATGCATTGACTTCCTGATACCTGTTATCAATATGTAATCAAAGCATGTACATTTCTAAGTTCAGGTCTCAGGTTCTCACTTTGTAATACCACACAAAAACACTTGATTTTTCTGAGATATTCCCTATGTTGATATCTAAATACTGTCTACCAGATATTGGGAATCTTTAAAATTTTTAAATGACTTTAAAAGAATCTTTAAAAGCATTTTAGTCTCATTTCCTATTTCTCATGGTATTCTGGGTGAGGAGGTAATCTCGAACATGCACAGATCTCATAGTAGGCAGTGGAAGAGAGAGCTGAACTTGGAGCTGGAGCTGGGGGAGCAGGCATTGACTATTGATGCTATTTCTTGAGATTATGGATTGATTGTCAAAGCAAAAATGTTGCAAATGAATGTTTATCACTTCTCTTAGAAAATGAAAACTAACTCTCATCATGGAGGCATGATGGGAGACATGGAAGCAACTTGCATTCCTTTGATCACAAATTGTCCCATAATTCTCTATCTGCTTGTATACTGTATGATGCTGACCCTTGCATTTAACTATGACTCTTTCTTTTCTCTTTTTATCTACAGTAAAAGTCATACTTCTTCCTGTGGGCCAGGAAATTGTAATTCCCTTTAAAGTTGACACTGTTCTAAGATGCCTGAAGGATCATTTTTCATCCCTGTTAGGTGTCCCAGCTTTTGTCCTGCAGATAAGATGTGCAGGTAAGCTTGGAGGCTAATAAAACTTATCAAGACTTCTTTAGTCTTAACATGTAAATAAGCAAGATCTTTGATTTGTAAAACTAAATATCTTGATGTTTACTGTTTGAACATTATATTGCTGTTATATACATTCTTTCATTCAACAATTATTACTGAGGACAAAATTCTAAATACTTTGCTAAGAATCAAAGATAGAAAAAAACATGAAATAAAATCCCTATTCTCAAGTTGCTCGTAGACTAGGAAGGAAGAAGACATATGCAGTTGTTACTACACATTGTATAAATGTTTTAATGGAGATGTGGTCAAAAAAACTGTGAGAACAAGGAGGAAGAAAACTGGGAGATTGTAGAAAGCTTCATCTAATTAAAGTGAGATACTTGTGTTAAGTTCAAAAGAGGTGAGAAAACCTGGGTCTTTGGGGAAATGGTAAGAAGTTTAACGGTACTAGAAGTAAATTCTTTATGGAGAGTAGGAGGAAATGAGGCTAAAAAAATAAATGATGAATGAGCATGTATAGAAAGAGGAGAGGACTGAAAATGGTTTATCTATCAGTCTTCTATACATTAAGGTCAATTCAGGTTCTGATGATGTTCAAGTTTATCTGTATTTTGTGGGCAGTATGGAGTACCACACCTTATATTAATTAGCCTTGTATCATGACAGGCTGTAGCCTTAATAACTGTGATAGAATTAAACAGACTGGCATAGCTCAATAAATGTTTCTGTAGATTATGCCTACACAGATCATGACATTTTATTTTTTAAAAATTTTTGTATTAACTTTACAAAGATGCCACAAAGTTTCTAGGGCAATAATAAGAACATTTTTTGGGGGAAATTCTAAGTGCTAAATAGGAATAAGCCATACCTATTAAGTTCTTCCGCCTTGCTAAATCAGAGAAATTTCAAGATTATTTTTAGAAAACTATTATAATGAATGTGTTCCAATAGTAAGATGTCAGTGTATTCAAACAACTGGTTATTAAAGTTTGATGGAGGAAACAAAGCTAAAATTTAAATAGTTATTGTAACAATGATACTGATGAAGATGATATTGATGATGATGACTAATGGGCTTTGGATCACAGTAAACTGTGGAAAATTCTTCAAGAGATGGGAATACCAGACCACCTGACCTGCCTCTTGAGAAATCTGTATGCAGGTCAGGAAGCAACAGTTAGAACTGGACATGGAAAAACAGACTGGTTCCAAATAGGAAAAGGAGTACGTCAAGGCTGTATATTGTCACCCTGCTTATTTAATTTATATGCAGAGTACATCATGAGAAATGCTGGGCTGGAGGAAGCACAAGCTGGAATCAAGATTGCCAGGAGAAATATCAATAACCTCAGATATGCAGATGACACCACCCTTATTGGCAGAAAGTGAAGAAGAACTAAAGAGCCTCTTGATGAAAGTGAAAGAGGAGAGTGAAAAAGTTGGCTTAAAGCTCAACATTCAGAAAACTATCATGGTATCTGGTCCCATCACTTCATGGTAAATGGATGGGGAAACAGTGGAAACAGTGGCTGACTTTATTTTTTTTATTTTTATTTTTGTGGGCTCCAAAATCACTGCAGATGGTGATTGCAGCCATGAAATTAAAAGACATGTACTCCTTGGAAGGAGAGTTATGACTAAGCTAGACAGCATATTAAAAAGCAGAGACATTACTTTGCCAACAAAGGTCCGTCTGGTTAAGCCTATGGTTTTTCCAGTGATCATGTATGGATGTGAGAGTTGGACTATAAAGAAAGCTGAGCGCTGAAGAATTGATGCTTTTGAACTGTTGTGTTGGAGAAGACTCTTGAGAGTCCCTTGGACTGCAAGGAGATCCAACCAGTCCATCCTGAAGGAGATCAGTCCTGGCTGTTCATTGGTAGGACTGATGTTGAAGCTGAAACTCCAATACTTTGGCCACCTGATGCGAAGAGCTGACTCATTGGAAAAGACCCTGATGCTGGGAAAGATTGAGGGCAGGAGGAGAAGGGGACGACAGAGGATGAGGTCGTTGGATGGCATCACCGACTCAGTGGACATGGGTTTGGGTGAACTCTGGGAGTTGGTGATGGACAAGGAGGCCTGGCATGCTGCATTTCATGGGGTCACAGAGTCGGACCTGACTGAGTGAACTGAACTGAACTGAATTTAATGAGCACTATGTGCTAGTCCTTTTACAAAGTGTTCTGTCTACATTATCACTTTATCATTCAATCTATACAACAATCCCTTGAGGTAGATATTACTGTTAACTTTTTGAAGGGAGATGGAAGCTAAAGCTTAAGGAACTTGTGCAAATTCCCACATCTTATGAGTGTGAGAGTCTGAACTTAATTGTAGGCATGATTCCAAAAAGGGAATTTGGAACTGCTTGGCATTCACTATAAGGTAAGGTTCAAAGCTGGAGATGAGAGAGTGTTTTGAGACTGGAGTAGCTGGCCAGTGGTACCTAAGAATCTCTTTCTTTGCATTTCATGACCTTTCGTCTTTATGTGTAAGTACTATGCATCACAGGGTTTTCCTGGTGGCTTAGATGGTAAAGAATCTGCCTACAATGCGGGACACCAGGCTTCAATCCCTGGGTTGGGAAAATCCCTTGGAGGAGGTCATGACAACCCACTCCAGTATTATTTACTGAAGAATCCTCATAGACAGAGCAGTTTTGTGGGCTGCAGTCCATGGGGTTGCAAAGAGTAGGACATGACTGAGTGATTAAGCTCAGCATAGCACTGGATAACAGACTTATGTCAGCAGCAGTAAAAAAAGAGCTTGATTCTGTGCCAATCATACTCTAAGATAGGTACTTTCTTCTAGTACTAGCACTGAAGTCCAGGTTTGGTGGGGCTAAGCCTATTCTGGAAACAATTAGAAGAATGAAGAAAGCTCTGTATTAGTTTGAAGAAGATTCTGTATTAGTTTTCTATGGCTGTTGTAACAATTGACAGAAGTATTTGCTTAAAGCCACACATTAATTTCTCTTACAGTTCTGGAGGCCAGATATCCTAAATCAGTTTCACTTGGATAAAGTCAAGGTATTAGCAGTGTTTTTCTCTCTCTGGAGGTTCTGGGGAGAGTCTGTTTCCTTGCCTTTTCCATCTTCTAGAGTTGCCCTTCTTGCATTCTTGAGTTTCCTCATTTTCAAAGCCGGCAGCATAGCATCTTTAAATCTCTCTCTACTTGTCATATCATCATCTTGGGATAATCTACCCTTCATAGATTCTGGGAATTAGTACATGGATATATTTTAGGGCCATTATTCAACCTATCACAAAATCCCTATAATGTTAACGTTGATGTTTTAAATTAAGAATTTAAGGTGAAATTGAAACTCAAAGATTTTTGAATGTGCTTTCATGAACATAGCTAAAATAGACTAGTGGTATCTGACATATTTCTAAGAATGAGTAAAACAAACCTTTGCTATGTTAAATTCCTAATTATAATTTAGGATGAACATACACTGGAAAGATTGATATAGATTCTGTCATTCATTATACAAAGCAGCAGCCAGTAACATTGTATGTATTTCTGTGTGCCTTAAAATATAGAAATAAATTTACAGTGACTTTATGAACTAAACCAGTGGATTGAAGATATAAGTTCAAGCAATAAACATAAAAATAAAGTGGTCATGTACCTTTTTTTCAGCAAGAAACAGGCCTAGTTCCACCTTGGCATGAATTAATTTATATGCATTTCTGATAATAGAAACAGAAAGAAAGGGATTCTTTAGATTCTGAGTGTATACTTTTCTGCATTCAAGAGAAGAGTGTATATTAAACTAATCAGGCTTTCGCTGATATGGATATGATCTATGCTTAATGTATAATACATTGTGATTCTTTTTAGAGAATCATTGCTTAGAATATGATTTTGCTCATATTATAGAATATGTTTTTAATTTTTAAAAGTTTATGGTTGCATAGTTATTGTATATTTGTATTTCTGATGAGTTGAGAGTTATATTTTTACTTTCCTTTTAATGCTGAATTCTTGGACAGGATATCACCTTAATTTTTTCCATTGTGGTTTTCCGTGCTAACAATACAGCAAGAGATGGACATCACCAGTATTTTTATTTGGTAACTAAATAATATACATTCATATAGGCACCTTTGATGTTTAACATTCCTTAAAATGAGTACATATAATCATTTCTTTATCATAATATTTTTATAATTTTATCTCACTTTTAGGAACAGTTCTTAAAAATCATGAGACGCTACTACAACATGGAATTAAGCCCCAGGATGTTGTGCAAGTGGAAATGTTTTCTTTACAGCAAGATCTATACCCAGTCAGAAGAATAGCTAGATCAGCTGCAGCCTCTCAGATCATAACTGTCAGAGTACAAACTGGTTTGTTATTTGATATCTTTTAGATAAAGAATTTTAGAGTCTGTTTGTAGTTGAACTTTCATTTAAACTTGGTTTTATCTCCTCAGGCATTGATCAGTACCAGGAAGTAGCTGTTGAGATGATAAAATCTGATTTTCACAAACCATTTCTTGGTGGATTCAGACATAAAATAACAGGAATAGAATATCACAATGCTGGAACACAAACTGTACCTAAAAAGATTCCTGAAAAACTGAATGCATTTTGTAGGGATACGCAGGTAATATTTTTATTTTTCCATATGGATTTTTGAAGCTGCAGAATCAGCACAGGTTATATTGTGTAGCTCTCTAAAATTATTCTAAGGAATTATATGGTGATTAAAATAATGAAAAATGTTACATTAAATATGTACAAAATATGCTCTTTACTCAATTTATGTGTAGTGTATACTTACTTTTTTTGTTTTTATTTTAGACAGTTTTTCAGAAAGGAAAGCTCCAGCAAACTACAAATACAACGTCCACACAGATGACTAAAATTGGTGTGTATGTATCAAATATTACTGATAAACTGGTAAAACCAGGAAAATATTTTTCAGCAGCAGAATACCATGCCAAGAGATTACAGGCGGTAAGATAACTTATTAAAAGGGAAATACTAAAAAGTAAATTTATAAGCCAATCGTTCTTTGTGTGTCTCTGTATGTATTTCCCTAAGCACACTTGCTTACGGAACTCACATGAGTGTTGTCGTTGTTCAAGAAAAAATTATTCTTAACACTTGTTAAAGTTGGTAAGGAGACAATTCAAAAGGGAATACTACAATGGAGTTTTGAAATAGGGAAGAGAGATTAGGCTCAACTTTGAATGCAATAAGGCAAAGGGGGGAAATATAGCCAAGGAACAGGGTAGGAGGGGGTCAGTGAATGGAAATTACAAAGAGAAAACATCTGGAGTAAGGGGGAATCCTGGCTAAACCAGTCTAACAGCGTTTGTGGTAAAGGCAGGCCATTAGTCGCAAAGAGTCGGACATGATTGAGCGACTTCACTTTCACTTTTCACTTTTATGCATTGGAGAAGGAAATGGCAACCCACTCCAGTGTTCTTGCCTGGAGAATACCAGGGATGGGGTCGCACAGAGTCGGACACGACTGAAGTGACTTAGCAGCAGCAGCAGCATCACTTGGAAAGCCCAGTGTGAGTCAAGTTTTATTGCTGCTAAAAAGCAGTCACTGTCTCCAGTCACACCCCAGGATAAGGAACCAGAATCCTACATGTTCCTAATCCTTCCCTTTCCTTTAGTAAATCCCTTTCCTTTTTATTAGCTTTGTCCTTTCTGTCCCTTGGCTTCAATCTTCTGTCCTTTGGCCTGAACCCTCTGACATTTGAATCACCTATATGGAACTTTCCAAACTAATAGATCAATTGGATATTAAAATCTATTTTATATGATATTAATAAAGTCACTCCACTTTTATATTATATTTACATGATCTGTTTTTCTTTTTTTATTCTTTTGCTTTCAATCTATTTGAGCCTTTGAATCTAGAGTATATTTCTTTTAGAGAGCATATAATTGGATCACGCCTCTTTATCTAGTCTGATAATCTCTGCCTTTTTTTTTTTAATCTCTGCCTTTTGATTGGAATGTTTAATAAATTTATAGTGTGACTATTGATAAGACTGGAGTATATCAGCCATTTTGCTATTTGTTTTCTATATGCTGTGTGGCTCTCTGGTTCCCCTGTTCATTTAGTGCCTTCTTTTATGTTAAATAAGTGTTTTCTAGTACCATCTCAATTCTTTTTTTTTAATGAAAACTTTTATTTTCCATACAATGTGTACTTTTTAAAAAAGTGTACAATTCAGTAATTAAAAATTTTTTTTTACTATGTAAATAGAGTTATGCAACCATTACCACATCAATTTTAGAATATTCTTATCATCCCAGACAGCTTCCCTGGTGACTCAGTGGTAAAGAATCCACCTGCCAATGCAGGAGACGTGACTTTGATCCATGGGTTGGGGACATCCCCAGGAGAAGGAAATTGCAACCCACTCCAGTATTCCCTGGGAAATCCCATGGACAGAGGAGACTGGCAGGCTGTAGTCCATGGGGTTGCAAAAGAGTCAGACACAACTTAGGGACTAAACAACATCATCATCCCAGAAAGAAAGACCACATCTAACAGTAGCCAGACCCTGTTTCCTTCTAGTCCTTTCTGCTTTAACAACCACTCATATACTCTCTGCCTCTGTTGATTTGCCCATTCTTGATATTTCATATGCATGTAATCATACAATATATAGTCTCTGTGTTGCAAGACATATAGCTCAGATGGTAAAGAATCTGCCTGCAATGCAGGGGACCCGGATTCAATCCTGGGTCAGGAAGATCCTCTGGAGAAGGAAATGGCAATCTACTCCCGTATTCTTGCCATGGGTAGAGGAGCCTGGTGGGCTACAGTCCATGGGGTCGCAAAGATTCAGACATGACTAGCGACTAACACACACACATTGTATATACCCAATTGTATATACCTACTATAGGTAGGTCAATATATGTGCACCACATTTTGTTTATCCATTTTTCGGTTGATGGACATTTGATTTTTTTCCACCTGTTGGCTATTAGGAATAAAACTGCTATAATCATTCACATAAAAATTTTTATACGGATATGTATTTTCATTTCTCTTGGGTATATGCCTAGGAGTGTAACTGCTTGATCAAATGGTAATTCCATGTAACTTTTTGAGGAACTGCCAGACTCTTTTCCAAAGCAGTTTCACCATATTTATGTCCACCATCAGTGTGTAAGGATTCTAATTTCTCCATATCCTTATCAACACTTTTGGATTATTGCCATACTAGTGAGTGTGAAGTGGTATCTCATTGTGGTTTTGATTTGCATACCCTAATGACACTAAATATTCTTCATGTACTTATTAACAACTTACATATATACTTTTAGGAGAAATGTAAATTCAGATACTTTGCCCAATTTTAATGAAGTTTTTTTTTATTACTGCTTTATTGCTTAAGAATTTTAAAAAATTATTTGCTAAGGGGTTGCTCCAAGTATAATTTAGGCATTAGAATATATATCTCATTTTATAGCAACATACTTCATATTAATACTAACTGAAATTCAATAAAAATGGAAACTTTGCTTCAATAGAACTCTGTTTATCCCTTCTTTGTGCTATCTGTGCTATCAACATACAAACGTATATTCTTTTTATGTTCTAAGTCCTATAATTCCTTTTATAATTATTGTTTTTATGCAGTTGACTCTTATTTTTTAAGTTTTAAATATATATATTTGTTTAAACATGCCTATTAAATAGGAAAAGCAAATAACAATCACCTACAGGATAATTTCTAATGATTTGTCATCAAATTCATTCTTTCTTTTGCCAGTTAAAATCTGCTGTTGAGCATGTTTTTTTGTGTTTTATTTCATTTCAGTTGTTTTTACTGTCAAACCCCAAATTTCTACTTGGTTCTTTTTTTTTTTTAATTTCTGTGTCTTTATTGATATTCCCTGACAATGTATTTTAAACAAAAATTTATTCATATCTAACTCTAATCCTGAACATAGTCAATACAGTATTTTCCTTCTTTTTTCCAAATGGCATTGCATGCTAAGTTGTGTCTGACTCTTTGCAGCCCTATGAACTGTAGCCTACCAGGCTCCTTTATCCATGGGATTCTCCAGGCAAGAATATTCCTGACCCAGGGGTCAAACCTGCATCTCATGTCTCCTGCGATGGCAGGCGGGTTCTTTACAACTTGCACCACCTGGGAAGCCCTCCAAATGGCATTAATAATTAAAAAAAAAAAGCAGAAAATTTCTCACTCAGATTTTTCTTTTTCTTACTTTCCATTGGGAGATAGTTATGCATGGAATTTTAAAGAAGTTTCCTGTACACATAGCATTATATCATAAACATTTCTCTACCTTTTATTTTTTATTATAAATGACTTAATGGCATTATATTATGCCATAATATAAACAGTGTAATTTAATTACATCCTTTTGTAGGACATGTAGACATGTTTTAATGCTCTATAAATTGTAGTGTGCATTTAAAAATTACTTAGAGATGTTAGAAGTTGAATTACTAGGAGAAAAATGATGACTTTTTTGAAGTCTTAAGATATTTCCAGTGTTTTTCAGAAATATTGTACCAAATTATATGCCCAGAAACTATTTATAAGAGCCCATTCCATGCTGACTTCATAGTGAAGTGAAGTGAAATCGCTCAGCTGTGTCCAACTCTTTGCGACCCCATGGACTGTAGTCTCCCACACTCCTCCATCCATGGGATTTTCCAAGCAAGGGTATTGGAGTACCCTTCATAGTAGCACATAACATTTAAAATTTTTTGTCTCCTTATAGATATTACATATATTTTTATATTTTCTCTCAGCCTATCAGTCATACTTACTTTATGATGTCTTTGTAAAATTTATTATTAATAATATTCCCTTTTATGGTTTTTACATTTTATATATTGTTGTAGAAGGCTGTATCACCCAATAGTCATACATATAACTTTGTTTTATTGTGTGTATTTGTGTACATGCAAATTTGTGTGTCTATATTTTTAAAAATTGACATCTTTACCCTATTAAACATTTGGGATTTCAGTTAAACATGACATACGGAACAGATGCATTTTATCTGTGTTACCTCCTAGCATCATTTTGCTTCAGTAAAAAGAATTGAAATAAGTGATCTTGCTTTTTGTGTGACAAGAAACCTGGATCTAGACTGCTGTTCTAGCCAATTAGCCCATGACCTTGAGAGATGAGCCTTTCCTGTGTCTGTGGACTCATTGCGGTGAGGGGGACTGCTCACCAGGGGGACCGTGGGACTAACTTTGTAGCTGACTTTATCAGTGCCTGAAGTTATTTCAGCCTGAGTAATTTTTATTTTTTCAGTCGAAACTAATTTTCACAAAAGGAAAATATGGAGCTATTATAGAGTTTTGGGGAGGAGTGATGTTTTGGTGAAATTTAAGTGATACAGTATTTTGATTGTTTTGGTATAAAACAGGGTTGTGTGTAGATGGATCAACATCAGGTCTGGACTGAGACATGGGCCAGAGTCCTGTTCCTTTCGTAACAAAGTTAGGAGGGAGATGTTGTTTCTTCTCTGAAGTTCAGCACGTTGGTTGTGAATCAAGGGTGCTTCTCTCTGTCAAAATAATGTAGATCCTCCAGGCAAAAGTGGGATGTTTCATCCTTAGTGATCTAATTTCAGACAGCAAAGTTTGTGATAGGTTATGATTTTAGGAAACAAAGTTTCTCAGAATAAGAAAATCATAGTCACTCAAAGAAGGGATTTGTCATGACATTTTATAGCTGCAGACTGTCCTTGGGAGAAATATTACTTCCTATTAACTTTGTAGCTGATTCTACTCATGCCTGGTATTTGAGCTTGACAGATTCCTATTTTCTCAGTCCGAACTAATTATTAATTTTTGGCTGTACGAGGCCTGGCTGGTGGCTCTCTGGTGTCATTAGGAACCTGAACTCCTATTACCTTTACACTCCATTAATCTTATTATTGCTTCCCAGGCAGCACAGTGGTAAAAAATTCACCTGCCAATGTAGGAGATG